CTACACCCATATCAGTTAATAACCATGTCAGTTGGTAACCATCTCAGTTGGTAGCCATGTCAGTTGACACCCATCTAAGATGGTAATCAAATGACATAGTAGCCATCTGACTTGAAAGTCGTTCCACTTGGAGATCAACTGATTTGGTATTATAGACTAATTACGCAAAACACAATTGTTGCTTATAGGATCAATTCGGTGAATCTCATTATCAGCGAACTTCTTGAGGGTGTGACTGTGAGTGTATATCTTCTCTTTGCTTTCATCCACACTCACACTGACATCCTCACACCCACGTTAACGTTTACAATCGTATATGTCTGTCGTAATCAACGACAAAGGTCTGGAATTATATATTAATAAAAGTATGGTGAGCACGAATAGCAAATAAATTGAAAAAACAGAAAGTTTGAAATAGTATGAAAAAAAATGTTCTAGGACTTGTTGTCATCTTTAACCGCTGATGCACCTTTTGATCGCATTTCTATTGCTCCTAAAACAGTTGTCGTTATTGGTACTGGTGCATGTGTTCCAAAATCTAGTTGTGTTTGAACGGAATGTGATCTTTCTTGATGTGAATCACCAAAAATTCCATAGTATGGCTGATTCAAGATTTGCTGAAGTTCTTGTGGACTTGGATAGGATATGACAGGTACAGCAGGGACTACCACGTTGTCTTTCGTATGAATACGTAAATTGTTACTAGGAATTCCACTGTTCATACCTTTCAATTGCATTATAATACGGCAAAGATTTTCAGCTTGCACTCTCTTTTGTTCAAAATTAGTTGAATCATACTCTGTATTTCGAACCAAATAGAATTTTAGTTCTGTATTCGGTTGAAATTTATCTCTGAAGAATTGTACACGATCGGCTTCAGAAAGGATACGTGCATTTGATACTGTATCTAAATTACTGTACTTCGAATATTGTAGATGTATTGTGATAACCCGATGAGCACTCTTTTGTTCAATGACTGTCGTTTCCCGTTGCGGTTCCGGATCATCCTTACAACAACTACAAC